CTTCTACTGCTGCTCTGCACCACGACTCTGGAACTCTGTGCCGCCTCACATCCACCAGCTAGACTCTACTGAACCCATCTGTTTGATCAATCTACCACAAGTAACCACACATAATATGTATCCCTCACTCATGAGATTTGAACCTTTGTGAACTCCTGAGTTCACATATGATGCACTGTTAGGTGTCTGCGCTTCTTAACCCGATTTTACTTGTGTTGCATGTGTTGTATTGATGAGTGTTCATGTCTTCTAATTAACACTGGAATTATTCATGTTTATTTATGATATAAGATGAATACTTTAAATCTGACCAACACGTGTCCAAAGAGAGGGGCGGCAGTGAAGCTTTGGGTGTGAAGTCCACTTCTTTAGAGACACACAGTTTTGGGTGGAGATTCATGAGTCACAGTTTGCATAGTATCGGACTGACTAGAATTTCCTTTTACTCACTTCCCATTTGAATCAACACCTCTGAATGGTCATGTTGTTGGTATGTTTGAAATGCAGTGGCTGTTAAACTGAATATGAGCTGCTACTCTGTAGGCTGATGTGTCACAATGAAATTCCATCGCACTGTTGTCAGCATCTTATCTGGAAAGGAGTCTCATACATGAACAATATTGTGCGTATGACTGGAAGAAAATTCTTTGGTGGTGATCTGTAAAAAAAACAATGGTGTCACAGTAGATAAGGAGGCCTGCCTCACTAAGGGTGTGGAAATCCATGGGCCAATGACATCACTGATCTGTTCAACTGTCAGTAACATGAAGGAGCCGCTGGGTCAACAGCTACAGAAAACTGATCTCACTAACCTAACTAATCTAAAGTTTGAAAATCTGCTATCTAATTTTTTTCATTTCTGGATCATGAGTTACCCAATTTCTTTTCCACACAAAACTTCTGCGATCTAATCATGGTTTTTAATCGTAGTTTTCTTTCAGGATGTTATTTTAATTTTCAGCCTGATCACAGCAGCCAAACTGTGTCATTTATATAACCACACGTGGACGCTTCGATAACCACCTGAACCCATCCAGGAACAGTGTCACACACACCAACAGGTGAAATCTAATGAATGAGTCAGAGGGGAGACATCTGCTCATGTTCATGAATGTAGGAGCAACTGTCCAAAAGAGCAAACACTCTTCAGCACGACGCCTCGTCCTGTGTCTCATGTGCATCCAGTGAGTAAAAAGCTTTTCAGAGACTTTTCAAGGTGACAGCAGTTTAGTTTCCCACAGTGTAACCGAGACAGAAAGCATCTGCACACGTACACTAAGCCTCCCCACTAATTCACCCATATGGTGGAGTATTAGAGACAACAGGCTGCTTTTGTGAGAGTGGGGGCAGTGAACAATCCTGGAGAACGAGAAAAAAAAAAAGGCAGGAAAAGGAAACAATGTTCGTCTACTCCTCCTTTTATCTAACAGCTATATTTCAGGTCCGATAATGGTTTTACATCGATCTAATAATTCCAGAAATGTGTCTGTGGAACACAAATCTTCAGAACCGTTCATCTTATCAGCTTCACACTGTGTATTGTGTAATTGTGTCAAACAAGCAATACATTCAATTAAATACAATTTGAATAAAAAGCTGACCAGAGCTCTGCAGCAGTGCATTCACCATAACACAACTGATTCTCCAGTTCAGGGTTGTGTGCACTGAGTTGAGCTTCTCTGAACTTTGAATAAACAGGTGGCAGCAGTGGGTCAGTGGACTGAGTCCTGCAGCAGGTCTTTACTTAGTGCAGCTCAATCATTGCAGGTCACTTTTACTGCACTAGTTAAAAAGAAAAAAAGATGAAACTTGTTCTTCTTTAACTATTCAGCTTGAGACCTGTTACAAAAAACAATGTCTGTCCACGAAACAGACATTTTGCCTCTAAATGTTGCAGAAGTTCCATTAAAATAACAGTTATAGCACCAGATCGATAAAATGATTCAATCTTACACACAATAACAAAGATTAGAGAAATAAATGACATTTGTTTCAGTAGTAGTAGATTTATCATGATCGCAGGATTGCACTCACCTAACTAACTGTATTAAATGTCGACAAACTACAATAGTAAAATGCAACATCTGCATTGATGCATCAACATCATATTAAACAATGTTTGACTCACAGAGACAACTTTTCTACACCATGAATAAACTAGTGAAGGAGAAGCCGTGAGAGGAGTTTATTACTTTGAAGGAGAAAGCTGCTTCTATGTTTTATTCCAGAGACTTGAAAGTGGGTTTGACAAGCAGCCAAGGCCTCAGGCTGGATTCAAACTCAGGTCACTGCAGTAAAGAATCAACCTTGTTTGTAGAACCTGCTGCACCCCTGCTGAGCGACCACAGCACCAACATAACCAATAAGATAGGAAAGAAAATGAACCACAATTTTTGAGTGAGTTCTTGGCATTAAAATCTAATATTAAAAAAGTTTCACTCATATCAAAAGGGCCTTCTAATCCTTGCATTAGTCTTTTTTCAGGAAGTCTGCCCATACATCTGCGTAACTTTAACCTTCCTACCACTTTACCTCAGCACTTTATCATAGTTACTGTAGAAAGGTAATACACGTGCTTCATTACAGTTAATTAAGCTGATTTATTTATGAGGTTTTCAATCCTTGCTCCTTTTTAAATGAAATATAATTAAGTTTATGTCTAAAAATTTTTAAATCTAACAATCTGAAATGTGTGAGTCTTCTGAGAAGCAATAAAACCAGTGCAGGAAAAAACACGTCCATACTGCCATAATCTGTGTTTTTTTTCTACTTCCAGTCTGAACCTGCTAGTTTGGCCCCAACTCCAGCAAGATCTTCATCTTTATTACAGCTGATCCGGCCTGACTCAAGCCTTCCATCTCCAACCCACTGTGGAGGACAGGGAGGCGTGTGACACTTCCTGACACAACTTTTCCACTGTACCACAGACCAACGATGTGAAAGCTCCGATAACAAACAGGCCTGTTTCCACAATGACCATATCTCAGCTTTTGGCTTTTCAAGTGCTGCTTTCGTGGCCAACAGCTGATTGTAAAATATCTAAAAACCTATGAAAAGTAAATCATAGAAGCTCCACAACCACTAACTCTTCAATCCAGTTTCCTGCAGCCAATTACAGTTCTGTGGAAGATACTGAATAAAGTGTCTCTGTGTAAAGAGCAGTCCTTTATTGTAGGCTGATACAGAACAAATTCTACTTACATCGCTGTGCGTCCACCACTATCCCTGGATGGAAGTCTTGAGACAAGAGAGAAGAAAGCACCAGATTAGAGACAAACCCACTAATCTTCAAGAAATAAGGAATCCACGGAAGAAGATAACATGTCACGAGTCTTACAGCTGGACAGGAGCGAGGAGGTGAGCAGCAGTAGGAGACCCATCCTGTCTGAGGAACACAGGAGCTGCTGGCTGTCCTGGAGGTCAACTGCCTGGTGACTATAGGCTGAATTAAAGGTGGTGTAGCGGTCTGTTTGTATGTGTGCTGGTCAAATCTGGACCTGGTGGGTGGGAACAGGCGCTAAGGTGGTGCTCTACCTCAGCCAGTCAGTAATCAGCCTGCGGTGGCGGTTATCACCCCGAGCAGCCATCAGCTTGGCTTAATTTGACAGGAAGCGAGTGTTGTTTCCTCAGGATGTTCATGCCGCCCGACTCTTTGCTGCTGTGGAATGTTCTCCTCTGGTCTGAGTGTGTGTGTGTGTGTGTGTGTGTGTGTGTGTGTGTGTGTGTGTGTGTGTGTGGTAGTCACAATAATACTGTAGTGCTTGTGTTGCAGCAGTCAGGCCGGTGACCTCTGCTCTCGCCTGGCGGTGCTGAGCAGGTAGAAAGGAGAACAAGACAGCGACGACGTTGTTTGTGTAGTAAAGCACATTTCCTGAGGTGAAGATGATTTAGCTGAGCTATTGAAATCTGTATAGACATAAATCTGCGCCCGACTCTTACAGGACACATGGAGGGGGCTCTCTTTCACTTGTTACTTACATCTTCACATACACAGTGGGTGTATCCATGGAGACATAACTTGTGACCTCAGTGTTTGGTCATTGCCATGATCTAAATAATCGGATTAAAATGGAGCCTCAAAGAGTTTAATATTAAAATAAAGAATCTACCATCAAGATGTATGTAACAATATGGACACTAGCTGTGTCTCAATTCACAGACTGCCTCATCTGTATGGTAGACTGTGAAGGCTGAACCCAAATGAGGCGGTCTGGTTTACTGAGGCCTTCCGTGATCCAGTCCTTATCGCTGTTTCCTAGCAACAGAGCTGCAGATGGAAACAATGGGAAAGTTAAAAAAATGTACCCTTAGCTGGTAGATTGAGTTGGAGCATGATGCTCAATGCTCATCACAGAGGCTCAATGAATCCTGGGATAGCTTGGGCCGGGAAGGATCCATCATTTCTCGGGGATGGGAGGGCGGTTTGTCGGCCGCATTTGAAGGAGCCTTTGAAATGAAGCAGTGTCATCACACTGCTGAGACCCAATTGGTATTCAAATCCAGCCCCTGAACTGAGACCACGCTAATATTTAACATATTTCAAATGTAAAATGTGGAGAACTGGAACATTTATCATTATTTCATCTTGTTGGCTGTGGTGAATTCTGTTGTTTCTGAAGATCAGACTAAATTCAGTTTGCTGTTTGAGGTGCTTCATCGATGTGTGAGCATGTGAAAGCTTATGCACATCACATATTTCTTATCAGGGTTTTTGTTTTTATCATACATTCCGTGTTCCTTCAGTATTTTACAGTTTTGTAAAGTTAGTAAAATTAGAGTGAAGGTTTCTAATAAGTCCACTGGGCTTCCTGCCTCCCACTGCACTGTGTATATTAATGTATTATCTTGTCATTTTTTAAATGTATTTTGAACCAAACTTTTTTTAACATAGAAAAATAAAACAGCTCCAAACATAAGAGAACATGGTTTTATAAAGATAGATTCAGTCTTGATGGATGAAGTCACAGCAGTATTTTGATACAAAAACATGTTCCAGACAGTCCGGTGCTGTATTTGGTTTATTTCACTGATTTCATCTCCTGTTATAAACCACAGTCAGAAAAGCAGTCAAACGTTTCAATGTTCCTTTCTTACTACTTTGTCAAAGTCCATGTTTTTTCTCCAGGTCTAAAATCTTAAAACTCAAAGCAGGACGCTTAGAGATGAATGTGTGTCTGAGCAAAGGCCTTGACTATGTTTGCTGAGCCGGTGCAGCAGCTGAGGCCGGCTAGAGAAGCTCAGTGACGGGGGTGATGGTGGGGACTCGTGTGGTGACTGCGACTGCAGCCGCTTACACAGACTGTGTGTTCCAACTTCACTCTGAGTCCACAAGTCCACTCCTTCTGTGGGGAAAAAACTAAGCTTGGGACGTGTGATGGGAAACTGAGGGTGAGAGATGGGTGTGCCAGGAAAGTAAGGAGGAGCGGGGAAGCTGTTGGGGTCATGTTGTGCATGGTAGGGCAGTGTGTGTGTGTGTGTGTGTGTGTGTGTGTGTGTGTGTGTATGTGTGTGTTTGTGTGTTTGTGTGTTTGTGTGTGGGGGGGGTGTCCCCACTCTTTTCTTCCTGTCACCTTACTGAAGCCATGGCAAACAACTGTCAGCAGAATTAAAAACATAAAATTACAAAACAGAAAGAGAAAAGGCTTAAAAAATGCTTAATAAGCAGAGTTGATGGACATACGGCCCCCCAAAAAGAACTTAAAAAAAAAAACCAAAGTAAGAGAAAGGTTTCTTTACAGATGGACAGTTTAGGAAAGATGGCTAGCTGTGACTCCACCCCCCTCAACAGCCAACACATTTTACACCTCCAAGAAGAAGATCAGAGCAACAACAAACAAGTGTGGTCATGAAATCAAAACAGAAACTCAAAAATGTCTCACAGAAGACTGAAAAACAGTCCAGACTCTGAGGTGGCAGGTGATTCTTGGTTCGACCAAGTTCTACAAACCTACAGAGCTGAATGCTTTGAGGGTGTGAAGAAAGCCGACTCTTCATGTGGTTAGACAAGCAACAAGCAACCAGGGTCAACTTCTATCCACGTTTCCAACCGACCAGCACACAACAGCCAAAATAAAGACGCAATGAGCGTTTGGGAGCAGTGTGCCTGTCGGCCCTTGGTTTTAGCAGAGATTCTTTCAGCATCGTTTGACTCCACATTATGTAGTGGTGGACGTAGTGATGAGCAAACAAAATTTAGACTATCACAGAAAAATCCATTTCATTGATATTTTCCTTGTGACTGATGTGTTGAGTTGATGGGGTAAAACGTACCCCTGTTTAGAAAAGAAACTCAGACTGATTACATGATTGTGAATGGAAATGGGATGTTTGTATTGCTGTAGTGTGGCACTGCAGGTCAGTGTTTTGACTGTTGTGAGCTACGCTGCTGTCGCCTTCAGACTGAGGCTGATGGCTGATGTTGCTATTGGCTTGAGGCTAAATCGCAGGAGGTTTTATTGCTTTGCAGGGCTGGTAGGTAACCGCAGGCTCCCTGTTCGACTGGGTGCTCTGTTTCTAGACCTCCTCTCTATGTGCTAGATATGAGGTTATGTATCATCCTTGAGGTGACGAAGGTTCTCCCTTGTTAAAGGTGATCATTTAAAAAACAAATAAAGCAACGAAAATAGCCATCCGAGCCACAATAACAAGGCGTGTAAGGAAAATATGATGATGTTTGGCACGCTGGGGTCAGAAGGGAAGCCAGAGGGAGAGTTCTAGCATGAGAGCAGGGGTCTTGTTTGGGCATCAGGCCCAAGGCTATGAAGGCCCACTGTGGGGCACATCTGTGCTATAATCCATTTTAACACACACACACACACACACACACACACACACACACACAAACACATGCGCACACACACACTCATCATGTCTTCCTGGTCCATGTGTCAGGATAGATTGAGTGAAGTCCAACATCTCTGAGTGTGTCCTTACAAATGTCTAGCTGGCGGTGCAGCAATACAGCAAACCTCTGCGTAGTTTGGCTGAGAGTCAGCCATTAAAATAAATGTATAAACACACCAGGGTCCAGCAGTAACCCGCAGTCTGTGTTTCCTGCACCAGTGAATGTGTTTTAACCGTGTCGTCCTCTGGGAGACCCCTCCCTCGCCACATCTGATGTGCGGTCACAGTTCGTTCAGGTAGTGATGCTCGCTGTGCGGCGACGAGGAGCCCTGGTGATCGCTGGGTACCACTTCTTTAAAATAGATCCTCTCTTCTTCTGTATATGCTATTTAAATACACGCACTCCTCTGCACAGCCAGGTCTACAATCATTAGCTTCATTATAAGAATGTGATTAAACAATGAGAATAATAATAATATATATATATAGTCGTAGCAGTTTTTGTCAGCAGCAATCACTAGAACATTCAGGGTGGTAATTGCATATGTACAAAGACAAAAAAGTCATTTACATCCAGAGCTGGAGGCTCAGGGTCAGAAGTCATATGTTGTGATTTTGGTGGGGAGGGGGGGTGATGAATGCTGGTGTGTTATCTGAGTCTCTTCTCTGCTGAGTAGATGGACATGCAGTAGTCGTTGCTGCCTACGGCCAAGTGAGGCTGGAGGGAGACAAAGAGAAGAAGACAGATTACACAATCAGTCTGAACTAGCAGACAGTGAGCTGAGAACATCCCATTAAAATACAATCCTTCCAATATCTCCTTCACTGATACAGTGGTAATCTAATACAAGGCTTCTAATGGAGTAAGATAAAGTTAGCTAATGGTAACTCCAGTGGGCCACAGTAAAAACACATGAGATCCTGAGCAGAGAAGACGACGTGTTTGCTACATGAAATACCAGAACAGTTCATAGAAACCTTAGAGTCACTCTACTGAAACTAGAATGGAACTCAGAAGAGTACATATGTCAACAGTCCTCTTACTAAACCACATTTAAACACTTGATCTGCACCAAATTGCACAAACTCATAAATATCATATATATATATAAAGATGCCAGATTTTTTCATTAAGATCCAATAATTATTCTCTGAGAAATAAAAAAATGTTGAAAAACATCTTATGGGTTCTTCCCTGACCCATATCACACCCTTCAAATCCATGCAGGTGTTTTTGCCTAATCTTGCTTTCAAACAAATAAATAAACCAACAGACAAACTGTAACCACCTTGGCAGACGTAAAACAGAACAAGCGGGGCTGCGTCTGCGGTTATAAAACCTCTCAGAGTGACACCGGTCTAACAGCTCAGAAAGTTCACAGACTGACACATTGTTGGTCCAGCCCTTATTACTGTGAGAAAAGTAAAGCACCAACAATCAGAGGAAATACAAGTACTTGAGTCTCAAGGTTTTTGAGTGATGCTGAGGTAACAGCTAACTGCTGCTCCATGGTAACACAGACGAGGAGGATTATTTGGACAGAAAGTTTTATATATGGACCAAAAATTAAAATAATATATAATATAATAATATTATATTATTTGATAAACGGATAGCGACCTGACAAAGACTCTAAGTTACTGAAGTTAGTCAAGAAGAAGTTGGTAGTTGTTTGAGATGTGTATTGCGCTCTGTTGTAGAATATTACTTGCTAATTTGTGTTTTTTACAACCTAACATGATACAGCCGAGCAGATCAGAGGATCGGGATCATTAACGACCACACGCAGTGTGACTGGTGGGTCTGTATTCAGGAGAATATAATTGAGAATGGTTCATTTTCTCAAAAGACGATTTCAGACACCAAATCTCAGTAGGTTGGTGTTACTTTATATTCCACAACATTTATAAAACAGTTCTACTGAAGGGACTTGAGACTTTTAACACACCATCAGTTTCTGAAATATTATACATTATTATAGAATAAATAACCAAAAAGTAGTTCTTGTGGAATGTTTGATAACTACAGGCCCACATTTAAAACTGTGCAAACTCTATATTAATTAATGATGATCTGTGTTTGTTTACCCAGTTAGGATGGAAGGCTAAACAGCTGATGGCCCCGATCCTTTGTCCCATGAAGCCGTCATAGTACTTAATGTTGCTGATCACGTCGCCGTTAGCGTTGTAGACAGCGATGAACTGGTTCATCGATCCACTGGAGGCCGGAGGAACAAACAGAGAGGGGGGGGGGGAAAGGGAGAGAGAGAGAACTGTGAGTTGAGGCAGTGTCTCAGCTTTAAACACAACATTAATCATATGCTTTCATTTTTTAGGGTGAGATTTCACTTCATAGATGATGTCAGGTGTATTGTCCAGTAATATATTTTGTTTTGTCTGACTCATTTAAAGACGATCAGTAGTTTATAAATCATCTTCAAAGGTAAACAGAGAAAATCAATATTTCTGCAAAGACTTTATTTTTACTCCTACTTATTTAGATAAAGGACACGAGGGGAAGACAGAGAGAACGCTCTGGTTGTTAGACCTGATCTTAAAGTGAAGAACACTCGAGAAGCTTTTAGTGGGACCTGAGTCGACACAAACAAACTCACCAGGCGAACAGGTTAGCCTGTGGGTGGATGTCTAGAGCTGTTAACCCCTTCACCGTCTGCAACAGGTTGATGGAGTCTGGACTCCGGGGTTCGAAGAATCGAACGTCTCCGTTTACACTGGTGGAGAACAACAAAGTCAGTGAGGGAAAAACCGACAGAAGTCAAACCCAAGTAGGAAGAGAGGCGGTGTGTACCTGACACTGATAATGTGCCCATCTGTCTCCTTCTGTAGATGAGCTTTGACCACCCAGGCTCCGTGCTCCCTGTAGGTCATCACCCGACTGCACACACAACAGACAGAACAAATGTCAGCACAGATAACATGCATGAACTGTGAGGCTGTCGACATCAGCTTTGTTTAGAAGCCCAAAACAATGACAAAAACAAATAACTTACTCAAAAATTTAAAAGCCAGACGATGTATTGTAAAACAATCCACTTTATACAAGATAATCTAGTAAATATAGAAAAATGGAGCCTTGACAGTCTCATCCTCTCATCTAACACCACCCAGTTTCCCTGTGGAACCTTCACTCATTTGTATGATATTGTGAAATATTGCAAATGACTTCTAACTTCATTGTGAAGTATTTGCCCTGGCGTTACCATATTCAGTTATTAGTATTATATGAAAACTGACTTTACTATGTATTCAGGACACTGTTAATGAAAGAGAGAAGAAAACAATAAATGAATGGAATAATTAACAATAAAAAAAATTCTGTGTTTACTAAGCCAAACTGCAAAAGCCAAATTAATAGCTTTTTAAAATAATATAAAAAGCAGTAGGAACACTGGGGAAGTGTTATGAAATTAGATAAAACAGTCTGATGGTGTTGATGGTGAACTTGTCTGAATGTTTTGAGTTCCTTCCTCTTGAGAGGAAAGCTACTAAAAAAACAAATAAAACAGAACGAAACCCCAAAACAGAAGTGTGAAAAATGTTTGTAGAATGTCTCCCTATGCTGTAATACAGCTGAGTAACCACTGGGTGACACCATGTAATCGTGGCTGAATAAAGCAGTAGCTGCCTCCTGAGACGCGTTGAGTGCTGAGAAACTGGACCTGCTCTGACCACCTTCATGGAACTAATCTGAACCTTAATTAACCACATTCCATATTAATAGTGATACTAGCAAGGTGTGTGACAGGAAGTGCATGTGATTGTCCAAACAACTGGTGGAAACAGAAACATTTTTTAACTCTCCCAGCAATGACATTTTTTTAATAACATAAATGAACATCGATTAACAAATATGTTTCGATTTTTGCCAAACATTCAGGCTAAAGCCAAAAACAAGCGTACGCTTTACAAACCCCTAAATTCTTCCTCCAGGCAGGCAGACATGGCCTGTCTACCAGTCCTCAGCAACATAGGTGCTAAAGGATGTAACTCTGCCTGAGGGGAACTATTAAATTAGCTTTACTTAAAGATTTATGGGTCACTTCGAGGTTTAACTGCTTTGTTTTTCCCCTTTGGGACTGAAATTAAAATAATGTTTAACTAACTGTGGGGGTGCAGTGCCACCAGGGTCCATTAAAAGAGGTGCCAAACCCAAAGGGAGATTTACAGCATGCAACATAAAATAAATATAGATTAGAGAAGTGAATAATGCAGGACTCTGTAGGAGTTCATTCCCACAGAAACCGTTGCGTCTGTTTAAATATTGGTGAGACAGGAAAAAAGATCAAATTGTTAATGTTATGATCAAATTTAACTTTCTGTACGGTCAGACACTGATTAGGTCAGAGGCTGCAGTGCTTTACCATTCATTAGGACCCATCCTCCTGTCGAACACACGGACAGATCCGTCTCCCAGACCGGCAACGATTAGTGAACGCTGGGAGTCACAGGAGAGGCTGGTCACACAGCTGTCTGCTCCGGTTGGGATGTCCTGGTTGACACACACACACACACACACACACACACACACA